CATGAGAGTTGAATGAATTTGCTCCCTGAGAAGCTTGTAGGAAAAAATTGTGGTACTAGTTTTGCCCATACTTCAATTCCTTAGTTCACATGGTTGCTTCATTTGATATTGGTATATATTGAGAGCTTGGGTTGCGGACAAGTGTAAAAAATTGTATTAATTCTCGAGTACCATCTACCAAGTATGACTTAGACTAATGCTATGTAGCCCCCAACCTAGTTTAGGTGACGCTAGATGACATGCTAAACTTCTGTTTCTGGGAATTAAAATTAGATTTTTAGTAGATTTTGATAAAAATTTATAAAATATGTGGTTGAAAAATTGTGGGATTCATGAAATATGTGGTTAGTATTTGACATTGACTTAAATTAAAATCTAATTTTAATCAATACCAAATATGGACTAAATCAAATGTGGAAAATATTTTTTTAATTTTATCTATCGTTAAATGCCACATTAACTCCACCTAAATTGGGGTTGTAACTCATCGTATTAGTTTTGCCCTCATGTCATTCCCTAGTTCACATTACTGTTTCATTTCATATATATGGTGGATGTGGGGGTGGGGGTGAGGAAGTGGGGTTGAAGTGTACACCAAATTGATTGGTGATGGAGTTTTAAGGAATTATAGAATGTCCATGAGGCAATATAATAATGATATTGATTGTTCAACTTGCTTTGTGTTATTAATGCTTTATATTAAACAAGACTCTGCTAAAACTGGTGAGCAATTGGCAGTTGGGGGGCTGAGTATTGTGCATGATTCCATTATCCACAAATTGGCACGATTTTGACTATGCTGTGTAGTCAGATTCTGCACACAATACTTGTTCGTCGTCGTTCTCTTACTTTACTCAATACTTGTCACGTTCATTTGTTAGATTACATTTCTCGTTTCTAATTATCTTATTCAGCCGTACTTCCGTGTTAACGTATTTTTTTCCGATAGCATTCATCTAATAAACTTGTCATAATTTATTTAATTTAGGGTTGATTCAGATAGATAAACGGACAGGGTTTGGATATGTTCGATAAATTTAACGACTAACAAAAAATTTCGATAACAGTTAGTGACGAAATTAAACCCTTTTTAGATTTCTTCTGTATGTATATGATCAAAATTTTGAGCCTTCGTGGCAATTGGCGATTATCATAATAATTAATTTTAATCACATATTTCATGAAATTCATAATTTTTCAAATACACATTTTATTAACTTTTATCAAAATTTATTAAAAATTTGATTTTAATGGCCCGCCAAATAAGGACTAAGTTGAATAGTTCTATAGGCCGAGTCGAGATGATAGTGGTGGTCATAATTGTAGCGAGTGGTTGTATGTGGTGTCATGCCAGTGCATTCATGCCACGTTATCTATCATTCAATGTTCAGACATCCAATCTGATAGTCAAACCCAGACAAAGACAACAAAGTAGTTGATTCTCTTTAATGTTGTTTCAATGAATAAAAAACAGTTTTAGCCCATGTTGGGTACAAATTAAAATATAATTTTACTATCAAATTAAAAGTCATTAATTAATTTTAATCACATATTTAATAAGACTCATACATTTTCTACCACACATTCCATCAACTTTTATCAAAATATACTAAAAATTTGATTTTAATTTATAAAAAACAGGGCCTTAAAAATTTTTTTCGTATAAGTGACAGAAAGGAGAGCCCATTGAACGCGACTTGCAAGTGGTTCAATAAACGTAACATTTAAAAGAGAGATTACAATATATTGATTGCCATTCTTCTAATTGTTTAAGCTATTAACGTATGGTTGTAGGCAAGTTGAATAGTAAGTAGTCAGCTCGACCAACAAACATACGTAATATCTTAACCGTGAATAGCGGTGGCAACGAGCCAAATCGAGCCGAGCCCGGGCCAGGAAAAAAAAGCTCAGGCCGAGCCCGAGTTTTTTTGGACCGAGCTTTTTTCGGTCCGAGCCGAGCCGGGCCCGGCCAAAAAAAATGATGCTCGGCCCGAGC